TTTTTAAAATTTTTTTTTTGTGAAGCAATTGCTTACGAGTGGACGACATGTTTGCGAACGCGACGGACGATAGGAGTGCCCAACAGTTGTGGCAATTGAGCGCCGATTGGGTTAAACTCGAGGATCGCTATAAACTGTAAAATTAATTGCAATCAAAAATTTAATATAATATATTAAATTCAATTTTTACCCCTATTTTTGCAAGTATATACTTATGTGTTTATATAATTAGTTTACGCATTGTTGCCTTTTTGAGATTCGCTAATGTAAATTATATTTAAAAATCTTATTTATAAACAATATAACCCAGAAATAAAGTATTAGCTTTTAAATCAATGTTTTGTTTTGTGACTATAATCCATTGAGTCCCACGTAGTACAAATTATTATAAATAGTAATCCAGATTTTAATATTAACCCAATATTATGTCGAGTTATTAGCAATAATATACTAAATTTGCATAAAAATATATAAATCCATGTTATTTAATAAAAATATTATTTTACTATTTGGATTACATGGAATATCAATTTATGTAAGTGCGATACATGTATCCGGGTTGGACAAGTATGTTAGCCATTAAGCTGGCTAAAATAACTATGGAGTAAATGATAGAAAACTTATTCAAAAATATTCTGCCATAAAAAAGTATACCAAATATCTGCATATATTGGATATACAGGCGCTCTGCAATTACATTTTGCTAACTAACTCAACATAGCCAGTATATAAATACATAAGGTAGGCCTTCCCCTTTACATCAAATATGTGTTATCTATACTTTATAAATATTTTACTTTTACCAACGCTTTTATTGCACTTAAGTAGATTAATTTTAATTGCCATAAAAGCTTTTAATAATTGTTATGAAGTTTTGTCATTTTTAATAAAATAAATAATTTCAAAAAATATAATAAATAACATTTTATAGATTTGAACTGCAGTGATTTATTATACAATAAAATCTCAGTTGAAAAACAATCTACTTGAAATTATTGCAGTAAGCTCGCTTCAATGGATTATATATATATATATATATATTTCTGAAATATTTAAATATTTACGAGTATATATATAATTCACATTGTGCTTTCAAGTGATTATTAAAGTGAATTATTATTAAAATAATTGCATAAAAATATAATATATATTATCTACATTTATATATATTATCTACATTTATATATATTATCTACATTTATATATATTATCAGATATTTTAAGTGCATCTCATATTTACTTTATTATCAGTTAAGACATTATTTTTAAACTAATTTGTATTTTTGATTGTTTAACAAACAGTTAGTTTTGACTAAATTGTCGAATAATATATTAATAGCAAAAATGTTTGAATACTTACTGATTCCGTACGGAATTCACTCAAAACACGCATATATTAAGCATATATTCACCGGAATATTCTTGACATCATTTGCTATAATAACGCCGTATATCGCGAAAAATAACATGTTCATGCTGTCAATGAACAAGCTCAAACTTGAAAATATGTATTTTGAGCTTGTTACTATTGTATTTGTTATATTATTGCCCACCGTAATTATGTCCACCTACTTATATGTGAAATATAAGTCACAATTAATAATTGAAATGAATGAATATTTTGACCAATATTATGCTACTAAAAACATTACATATAAATATTGTAACACCCTCATAATATTCATTGTTGTTTTTATACTGGAATATTTATCTATTATTATCATTTACTTGATCTATGGTGAACACTTTAAAAATAATAATCTAGACTATTTTTTAAATACAACAATTAGTTTTAAAATCGATATTTGTTCAAGAATATTCTACATTGTTTACTTTTATAGCTGGCTCATTGTATTATTTTGTGCATATTACGAGTTGTACACCAAATACCTGCGCATACTGGACATACAGGTGCTACAAATGCAGTCCATTGTAGAGCACATACCTAATGAATATCTCTTTCAAATACGACTATTTATACAGCAATTCACACGAAATGAATTTATTTCCCTGATGACTAAAATGAAATACTTTGTTATCATTGCTGCTTTAATAGATATTGTACGTGGTGGTATATTTATATATGTATTATCTATATTCTTAGATATATATGATACTAAAATGATCATAATGATTATAAATTTAATTTCGTGTTACTTGTTTTTCTTATACATTATAATCAGTTTGTATCGAAAATCAAATATTGTATTAAGCATTATGTCTATTATTACTAAATGGGAGAATAGTATTGTAATTAGTGTTGAAAATGAAACAAAAATGTAATTTTTAAAATTAAATTATACCAAATATTTCAAATACTAATGTACTTTATTAAATACTAATAAATAATTTATTGTTGTTTTAAAATTGGTATTGTTCAAAAGAGATAATAATATTATATCTGTTGTATTATTACTTTTAAAAATAATATCAAATGAAATTTAATATTATTCATTTAATAAAATTAAAAATATTATACACATTGAAATGAAAAAATCTTACAATTTATTAAATTTAATAATTTTCATTTGCTTATTAAGTTATCAAATAAATGTTACATTAAGTATAAATTATACATAAATATTGTAAACTATTAATTCATTTAATATTTATTTTTTTATACTATTCATTGTATAATTAATTAACTATATGTATAATTATATGTATAATTAATATAAAGTAGGCATTTAAAATTGTTATGTATATTTTTCAAAAATAAGCTAATATTTGATAATTAATAAATGTAATTAGTTAAAAAAACAGTGTATTAAATAATTTTATATATTTAATGAATGAATGAATTAAATAAATATTTTAAAAATTATACTATTGCTGTATAATTTAAAATTTAATTTGAAATATAGTTTAATCCTTGATCATTTATATTAGGGTATACATTAAAAAAAATAATATTGAAATAAAATTACATAATTCATATAACAGTTTAGTAATTTTATTATTTTTTAATTTTTATAATTTTAGTAAACAATAAAAGTGTATTGTTTTGATTGGTTATATGGGTCTGTTTGAATATTACACAAGCACAATTAATTTATAAATATTAGTATTGAATTATAAAATAAACTTATTACAAAATATGAATATATTGTTTATAATAAAATAATAATTATTTTTATTAAATAATATTAAAATGAATTACTTTACAAATTGTAATATTAATAAGTATGTGTATTCTTATTATATAACAAGTCTTTAGGATTACCCGGCACCCATATCTTGTTAGTGATTGACATGGTTTATAATAAGCGCATAGCACCTAGCGCATATCATACCCCAACACACTACCGGCACCGGGATATTATTTGTTGCCACATGCTACATTTGTAACATGTGACTTCTTAAAACATATCATAATAACAATCTTATTAAAATAGTTTATAATTATAACTTTCAACTGACATATAATTACATATTTATAAATTTTATTTAATCTAATCGCTTAATTTAAAGTTAGTTTTAATTGAAATTATAAGGTCGTGGATATATCTAATATGATAATAAATACAGTTTGAATTCTCTATCCAGATTTTTTACAACCAAAAGTCTATTAAATACTTGGACCATGTCAAATTTACATTGTTTTAACTTTATATATTTAATACAAATATTGTTTTGTGTCATCATTTGGTTTATACATCTGTAATGCTGACTGTGTTGTTGTTGGCATTAATTGTTTGGCCTTGTTCAGTCCATTAGTGACTAAAATCTGGATACTATAGTAGTCAGTGGTTACAGAATATATTAAAATATTTATTATATAATTTAAATTTTGTGTTAATTTTTAAAAATATATTTAAATCTATTAAAGGTTTATAAACAGACAATACGGTATAGACTCAGAAATAGTCATAGAATGAGGGTATGGGAAGGGATGGGAAAGGGATGAAACATCATAAATATTTTCTAAAATATATGTTTGGTGTAGCATCAATTTATTATTAGCTTGCTTGGACAATTAATTAATTTAATAGTATGATAGGTTCCATAGTATATAGAGAATGTCAATTACCTTGAACAACCATGTCACTCTATAACACACGCTCAATACGGCACCGGTAGTCGGTATAAGTCCAAGAGTCCATCCAAGCCCTCAGATTATGGATTTCATAGTATGTATTAATTGCGTGATCATTGGTTTGTTTGGTGTGCATAATTGAACTAGTTGAATTTTGTATTAATGTTTTGTATTGTATTGACATTTAATTATAGTCAAAAATTTTAATTAATATATAAAACCATATTTGCTAGTTTATATTAATTAATTTATAGTGTTCAATCATAGTGCCAATTATATGAAATTATCAAATCTGTATTAACCATAAAACAGTTAATATTAAATAAATTAAAAGTCAATTTTCATTAAAACAAAATAAGTTTATTTTTATTGTTATTTAAAATTCTATTATAACTGCTAGCGTATAATAGCCCACGTCTTAATAATATTAAATAAATTAAAGTTTTATAATTTATAATACAGTGTGTAGTCCTATTAAAAAATTATGACAATTTGTGGGGTGACTACCGGCACCCATAGCGTGTTAGAGTGTGACATGGCTTATACTAACATGTATAATCTAGCTCATTGGACACCACAAAACACTATGGGTAAGCATTTCAAAAGTAATCAAAGTATTCATACTAACAAACAGTGTAAATTATTTTTAAAAATAATTAAAACAGCATTGCTTTTAATTTTAAAATGCATTAACAATTATTTTTCCTAGTGTATTATTCGTAAAATAAAATTATAAATAAATTCTGGGAAATAGACCTATTTTATATTAAAAATTAATTAATCAATTAATATTATTATAGTGTTAACTAATGAAAACCTAGATATTATTATATAATAAACTTTTAATACTGTCAACTGTCAATTGAATTTTAAATTTAATAAATATTATGATTTGAGAACATTTTATTTAATACATGGATTAATAAAAACAACTGCATCAATAATTTTTAAAATTTTATTTAATTCTCTAACAATGGTACATTATTAAACATTATAACATTATTTATGGTTATAGAATTATTATAAATTTTATAAAATCTTTATAGTAATTAAATTCAGTAATACCAAAGATTTATATAATACTGACTAGCTCATAATTAGATAAAAACACTCGAGCTTGCTTGTGAGTACAATAATTGTTCCTTGGTCAAAACAGGTGGCTCAATATTATAATACTCCTTTTCGGGTTGCTTACTCAGTTTAATCTGATAACAATCAAATGCAAACCAGAATGATACCAGGATCATTAGGGCATGGATTATCAATTTAGGTAGGTGCCCCATTTGGTAGCCAGGTACGACAACTATGTTAGTCACAAAGCTGGCTAAAATAACTACGGAGTAAATGATAGAGATGCCAAAACTTTCCGTAATAGTGGCCACCAAACCAATGGCCGGTACTGCCAATAGTAGGTCGTCCACTAATATGACCATGGCCAGTGACCCATTCTGAAAATTATTTATAAATTTATAGTGAGGGTAATTTTTGTTTAACTAACCTCAGGGCGTTTTAGCATGATGTGTAGTATGGCTAACACCAGGGTTATTACACAATAGGCTAATAAGGCCCACTTTTTACACTTAAATGCGCTTGATGTTCCTAGACTCATATTTATCACAAAAAGGGAATTATAAATAAATTAATTTTATTAAAAGATAAAAGTATTTAGATATAATAATTATTAAGTTTATAATTTATAAAATAAGTTTTGTTAACAAGGATATTCAATAATAAAAATTCCAATAACTTTAATATTAACAGAATTACAAAGCATATTTAATAAAATTTTATTAATCATCATTATTCAACATAATACTTGTTATGTATTTAACTAAAAATCAAAATCTAATATTTTTAGTTTAAATAATAAATTAATTTAGGTAGAACATTTGAAAATGTATTTCTATAAACTAAAAAGATATTATTAACAATTTAAGAAAATTATAATAATTATACCGCTAAATTAATTAATTAAATTATTTATCTTACATTATGTCCAACAATGGATATTTATCTGTTAGTATCTGATCTAGACTATAATTACCAAGCTCGCTTGCTGTCACATTAACTAAATTATAACCAAAACCATGCATGACATCCTGACAATAGCGTTGCACCTTGGCAACTTTATTTCCGTCTAACCGAGTAATCCACGACATGACAGCCATTTTTGAGTCCCTTTTAGTACTATGTGGGTGTCTGTGAGGGTCGTCCCCTTGAGTGTGTTCGTCCAACCATTGTTGCACTGGTAGTGTATATTGTAGTCCTAACTTATTGTATAATTTTATGGCAGTTTTGTGCGGTTCAATAGCCAGGTCCTCGTAGCGAATGATTGTCACATTTTCTGAGGATTATAAAATTATTAATAAACAAAACTTAATTTACAAAGGTCACTTAATATTATTTCATTATTTCAAATTAAGTTTTTTATTATTGTGAAAATTGCCAAATTAAGTTGACCAATCTAATTTATTATATTTAAAATATATTATACTAATAATAAACTAAATTTTAGCATTATCATGCATATTATATTAATATTACATACTTACCATGTCTCATTTGTATAAGTGCTTTAATGTCATCCCTTATATGATTACATAGGATTTCCACGTTTGTACAGTTTGGTTGATTTACACACCAAGGTAAAAAGACCCTGGAGTTCATCGTAGCTCTCGGATCCCGAATCAGATATACTAGTTTTATTGGGGGTTCTGGTAGAATTTAAATAAATTATCTTGATAAAATTTTTAAAAAAATTATTTTATAAATATTTCAGATTGTGTAAGAATTATATTTCAAAAAATTGTACCTGATGTTTTCTGTAGTTGTCGAAAGTCATTAACACCAAAACGTATAGTTTTAATTAGCCTATGAGGGCATCTCTGACAAAAATAATGATTGATCAAGGTATCAAATAATAGACTCTCATTATCCCGGACATATTGCTCCATGATGGTATTCAATTTGAGATTAAGAGCTTTCCATTGATATGCTTGAAAATAGTCCTTGTTAATAGTGTCATATTTGCAATCAAATAAAATATTTATTAAATTAATGGCTTCCGGAGTGGTTAAATTATTGGTCCTGGGATGATTAACTTGCATATTTATATTTCTCAATGGTTCGTAATTGTAAAACGTGGGCCAAGCTTGTTGCAATAAATCACCTAGCATAAAATTATTCAAAATAAATTTTGATAATTTAACCTAGTATTAATTAAAGTATAGCTAATATAATAAATAAGTACATTTATTTTGTATAGTTTACAACTTATTAATCGGGATTTAATTTAAAAAAAAGTAGAATAATGATTATTTTTTAAAAAAAAGAACAGGGTTAAAATCTACATAATAGTTAGTAGCGATTATGTTGCTAAAATAATAAAATTAGTTTGTATTTACTTAATGTAATCAATAATTAGCGCCAATTTTCACGATATGATAACTATTGGTCTATACCTAAAAAACTTGATCCACTTCTGGCTTCGGAATACCTAGCATAAAATTATTCAAAATAAATTTTGATAATTTAACCTAGTATTAATTAAAGTATAGCTAATATAATAAATAAGTACATTTATTTTGTATAGTTTACAACTTATTAATCGGGATTTAATTTTAAAAAAGTAGAACAGGGTTAAAATCTACATAATAGTTAGTAGCAATTATGTTGCTAAAATAATAAAATTAGTTTGTATTTACTTAATGTAATCAATAATTAGCGCCAATTTTCACGATATGATAACTATTGGTCTATACCTAAAAAACTTGATCCACTTCTGGCTTCGGAAATGATAATGATTTTGTTGACACCATTTGGTGACACAATCGGTAATTGACTGTAATTCACGAGTCTATTGTCAAAAACATGTTTATCATTAATTTCTGTACGTTTATAATAATTCATATTTTGCGTGAATATTGCCAGTATTGAAAATATTGCCATCATAATTAATTTGAAAATAAATAATTTAAAAATAAGTTTCATTTTAATTCAAATTAAAAGTTCTGACTTATAAATCTAATCATATATTTTATTATATCATATTAACTAAAACTTTTGTTATGCATGTAAGTAGAAAATCATTTTAACTTTGTTATTGAAAAGCATGTGTACTGTATATTACTGTAGCATGGTAGTAGTAAAGGAATGATACTAATTATTTTATTATTTTGAATCCGAAATTTTAGTATTATGTTTTTTATTAAAGTTTTAAGTTTTTGTAATGATATAATTAATTGTGAACTTACAAAATTTAAATATAATTTTTTTTATATCGGCGCTTAATTCATTTGTCAATGCTAAATCAACCTTATGTTTTCTATTAAGTAATAATATTCTAGATGACCTTGATAACATACAATTTCCATAAAGTTACATTAAGCAGAATCATAGTCAGACAGTTCGGCGCTAAATTCATTTGTCAATGCTAAATCAACCTTATGTTTTCTATTAAGTAATAATATTCTAGATGACCTTGATAACATACAATTTCCATAAAGTTACATTAAGCAGAATCATAGTCAGACAGTATCATATTAATAATTTATTATGTATTTATTTTCAAGGTACAGTACATTTCATTTATAATAAATTTTTACTTAATAATTTTGAGAAATATTTATTAATTAAATTTAATGAACAATATTTATGTACAATACATAATATAATATATTAATTAAAATATTTATTCATAATATACATGTTATAACTAAAATTAACTCATTATCATTAAAAACCGTTATAAATGTTAGTATTTATAGATTAAACAGTACATGCACCTTTACATTAAATATTGACAAGTATGATAAATGTTATTTACAGTATATGTGATTGTGGTAATGTGGTAAATATTTATACAGACATTAATTCAAACTCATTGCACTAAGCATTGAAAATATTACATTTGATCCACTGGGTGCTTAAAAGGGTTATCTATTTTTCAATTCAAACTGTATATATAACATAATCATTGCATTTCTAAATGTAATAAACAATATTAGATACTATAAATGCAATGATTTTGTTATGTATACAGTTTGAATTGAAAAATAGATAACCCTTTTATGCACGTTGATGATCATTTGATTATCACCACAAAAAATTGTGTATAAAATACAACAAAAATTTTGAAAAACACTAGTAATTGCAACAAAAGTCATGTCATTATTATTGGCGGACATCGAGGCGACCGCTAACGAGAAACTGGATGCCGGGCTCCGGGATTACTTGAATAGGGGTGCCCAGCATGACGTGACTCTGGAGGCCAATCGGGAGGCGTTCAATAGGCTACGGATAAGACCCCGATATATGGTTGATGTGTCCAAACGTGATCTAACGGCGCGACTGTTTGGCGATACACTACGGGCGCCGATATGTGTGTCGCCGTTCGGACTCAACCGCCGGTTCCACTCGAATGGCGAGTTCGAGACCGCGAAGGGTTTGTCATAATTTTTTTAGCTATAAATAGTGTTTTTAATTTGAATTAGTGATGAAAATGATTTCAAAAATAACTAACTATTTACTGGAGATGCCAACAATTAATTTGAATTTTAGTGATGTGTAGTTCATAATGAATTATAATTGAGTTACAGTCTTGTGTCTCGTAAAACTAATTATAGTTATTATAATATTGAGTGATATATATAGTACTTATAAATTGCATAAAAAAAGTACATACACTGTTTGACCAATAATTTTATTATTTTTTAAAACTTAATATATGAATACTTACGTTACAGTTTGGGTACACTTATTAGTTAGTGGAAAAAATTTAATTTAATTTTTTTGAGCTATTATATGAGTTTTAGTTATTATAATAATATGTAAATAACTCAAAATTTTAATAGTAATTTTCAGTAATTAATAGTAAAAGATTTTTATAAATTAACAATAGGTGTCATAAATATTCAATTATATGCCATGAGCCAATATTATAATATCGTTTGTCATAATTTATTTTGGCTATAAAATTGTGTTTTTAATTCAAAAAGTGATTTCAAAAATAACTTTCAGGGTAGTTTAATGCCCAAAAATTTAAAAGAATTCTAGAAAGGTGTATTTTATAATGAATTATAATTAAGTTACAGTTTTATGTGCAAAAAAAGTATTTAACGTTAAAATTATATATTGCTTATTTATATTATTCAAATTATACATGCTTACCCATGTTGCCGCTTTATTATTAATTTAAAAATTTTAATAAATTGAAATGAATATTTATCATAATTCAGCAATATTATTTAACTGGGGTCAATTATAGCCCAGTAAATATTTTATATTTTAAAATAAATAATTATAAACTAATATTAGTACTAATTTACAGTCTATACAAAATTATGAATTAGGATCACAAACATTACTGATATCATAATATAGACAAAAATAAAAATAAATTCTGAATAGAAATAAACATGCTCTTTTCTAAAATATTAGTTTTATAATCGGTACTATTCCATATATTAATAATTAACTAATTTGGTGCTTTTAAATCGCCGGTAGGTGTGTCCCAATGCCAGACAGTAATGGTGGTGAGCAGTGGCTCGGGCGTGACTATCGAGCAACTGGCGGAACGGGAGCCCCTACTCGTCAAATGGTTTCAAATGTTTATATACGAAGATCGGGTTATGACTAGAGATATGGCACAGCGGGCCGAGAGGGCCGGCTATAAAGCACTGGTACTCACTGTAGACCAGAATACTATGGGACTCAGGTATCACAACATGAAAAACGCTTACGTGGACACAGACGAGAGGGTTAACTATCGGCCCTATGGGGTCAGTAAGGAGGTGGCCAGGGATGCCACGTGGGAGGACGTGAAGTGGCTGAAAGGTGTGGTGAATATACCGGTGGTTATTAAGGGTGTCCTTACGGCAGAAGACTCGCGATTGGCTGTTAATGCCGGTGCGGACGCCATCTTTGTGTCCAATCATGGCGGCCGACAGTTGGACGGATCGCCAGCTACTGTATGTA